AAAGTACCTTTGGGACAGCCCTGGAGTAGATAGAATAGAATAGAATAGAATAACAGAGTTGGAAGGGACCTTGGAGGTCTTCTAGTCCAGGGATCTCCAACCTTGGTAACTTGAAGCCTGATGGAGGAGTTGAAGTCCACCAGGGTTCAAGTTGCCAAGGTTGGAGACCCCTCTTCTAGTCCAACCCCCTGCCAAGGTAGGAAACCCTATACCACTTCAGAGAAATGGTTATCCAACATCTTTTTAAAAACTTCTAGTGTTAGAGCATTTACAACTTCTGGAGGCAAGTTGTTCCACTGATTAATTGTTCTAACTGTCTCCTTAGTTCTAAGTTGCTTTTCTCCTTGATTAGTTTCCACCCATTGCTTCTTGTCCTACCCTCAGGTGCTTTGGAAAATAGCTCGACTCCCTCTTCTTTGTGGCAGCCCCTGAGATATTGGAACACTGTATTCATGTTTCCCCTAGTCCCTTTTTTCTTTCTTTTTTAAAATAAATTTTATTAGTCTTTTATGACTTTTAAAAACAAAAAGATAATCATTATATTAAGTTCTGTGACATCAATCTCATACAATTCTCTTTCGTGCATATTTACAAATATATATAATTTGTGCAAATATATACATTTAATCTATAAATTGCTTATCTTAAATTCCTTCATTTTCCATCTGTCTTAATTCAATTCAATTATACCATTTCCCCCAGATTTTGTAATATTCAGACTCATCTTTCTCTTGTAACATTAAGGTCAGTTTGTCCATTTCAGCACATGTTATAATTTTTTGAATGATCAATTCATCTAGGGGAATACAGTTGTGCTTCCAGCATTGAGTGTAAGCTATTCTGGCAGCTGTTAAAATATGTAATACAATATATTTTATGTTCTTTCCCATATTTCTTTTTAAATATCCCTAACAAGAATAATTCTGGTTCCAATTCTATTTGATCCTTAAGAATTTCTTGCAGCCAATATTTAATTTTAAGCTAGTATTTCTGGGCCTCAGGATAAGACCACCACATATGATAGAAAGTACCCTCTTTCTTTCTACATTTCCAACATGCCTGGTCCTTCTTTTCATTAGACTAGACATACCCAGTTCCAGCAACCGTTCTTCCTATGTTTTAGCCTCCAATCCCCTAATCATCTTTGTTGCTCTTCTCTGCACTCTTTCTAGAGTCTCAACATCTTTTGTGATAAACCTCACAAATGAACACAAGGCAATTCAATATGGAAGACATGAGTCAAAATACATACCAAGCTTCTTAGGGATCCAGTCAAGGCCAAAAGTAAACTTCTTTATCTGAACCACCAGGTATTCAGGAAAGGAAGCAAAGCGAGATGTTCTGGAAGTGTAAAGCATTTCCACATGACATTAAAAGAACCAAAACTCAAGATCAGAAGCTTCATCATTTAAACAGAACAGCTGAACTGCTCTTTTTGGATCATACACAAGAGCCCGCCCATTCCTCTATTCTTTTCTACGGCAGCCAACCAGATAGGTCTGGAAAGCAAAGAAATACAGTAGTTCTCATTTAGCAAGTGCCTCATTTAGCAACCCCTTTAAACTCTATGACCAATCTTCCCATTTACAATCATTGCAGGTCTGTAAAGTAAAGGAAAGCTGAAGTCAGGTAATAAGCGCAGCTAGGATTTCACTTAGAATTTATTAATTGAATTGCCGCTCCAAACTGTCATCACCAGAGCAAGATCCCGCTCCCACTGCTTATCTGCCATCCGGTAAGAGTAAGACCCTAACCCTTATCTTATTTTTTTAACCAGGTGGCTAAGTCAAAGTAACAAAGTGTCAGGGTACAATCAGATTTAATAAATATATATTTTATAGCGTATGTTTTGTACAATCTGAAATCATCTCCAGAACAAGCAAAATAGGAGATTTCCTTCATCTCAAGGAAAGACCCAAAGCTCAAGTGACTGAAGAGATAGCAGAAGATGTGTAATGCCACTACATTTTACACTATACAGAGAACAAATGAAGAACCTAAGGGTCCTGACAGACTTTTGAAAGTAAATGGAGCTATTTATGGATTTGCTATCTCAGAAGACACAAAGAGTAGGAAAAAAAGAGAAAAAAAGAGGAATCAGCCTAAAATTCCTACATAGCCACAAGCGAGCTAAGTCCCTTGGATTCCACTGACCGTTACCTAACTCCAAGAAAATGCTAACCCAGAGGTCTCCAAACTTGGCAACTTTAAGATTTGAGGACTTCAACTCCCAGAATTCTCCAGCAAACATAGCTGGATGGAGAATTCTGGGAGTTGAAGTCCACAAGTCTTAAAGTTGCCAAGTTTGGAGAGTCCTGGTTTAACATTTCCTGGAAATTCGCAAAATGGAAGAACCCAATTCTTTGACCAGGTTAGGAGTGGGATGTGAAGGCTTAACTTAACCAGGATTACGGACACCGCCTCGACCCTGATCCCAGAACCCTCCATCTTCCAGGTCTATGCACCCCCCTACCCCAAATAAAAGGCACCCACTGGGGGGGGGCAGAAGGAAAGCCTCCCCCCCCAGCCTTGCTTGCAGAGACAGAGGTAGGGCTTTTAACCAAGCGGGTCGGCTGAGTGGTTGTGTGAGGAATTCTGGGAGTTGAGGTCCACAAGTCTTAAAGTTGCCAAGTTTGGAGACCTCTGTGCTAACCAAACAATATTCCCGCACATAGACATGATTAGCAATAAATCCGTTGAATTGAACCTGATCTTTTGTGCCTGACACATACTCACTTAATGCCAGCAGACTTGGCTTGAAGGGCACTGCTCCAGAAGTCTTCTACATTTTCTGGTTCCATAAAGGCCTGGAGACAAGCACTGAAAGGGATCCTTGCCCGGACCATCTCTGGTGGGGGCCTCCTTGTTGTTTCCGCTTCTCTTCTCTTCAGTTCATAAGCAATCAATTCATCTAATTGGAAGAACAAGTGATACTGAATAAACACCATCCATCTGTGGGAAGTCGTGGATGGGCTCATTTGATGGCAAATGAACGTGAGAAATGGCTCCCCTGACAACATTTTGCATCTAAGAGTGGATCGCATACAGGGATGGGATTCCACTGGTATAACAACCGGTCCGATGAGCTGCACGCGCACGCTCCGCATTTAGAAAAGCTCCAATTCCTACCTTGTAATGCAGTTCCTGTGAATCAAACAGCTAAGTTGCGGCAAATTGCTCTGCCGCCCCAATCAGCTGCGTTCTAAAACCAAGGAGAACTGAACAAACTGAACAAGGAGAGATTCAACCTGGAAATAAGGAAAAACTTTCTGACATTGTGAACAATCAACCCATGGAACAGAAGTTGCCTTCGGAAGTTGTGGGAGCGTTATCACTTGAGACTTTCAAGAAGAGATTGGACTGCCATCTGTCAGAAATGGTGCTGGGTCTCCCGCTTGGGCGGGGGGGTTGGACTAGATGACCTACAAGGTCCCTTCCAACTCTGATTATCTGTTATCTGAAAACCAGGAAATGAAGGACAGGAAAGAGCAGAGGCAGGCAGGCGGCCCACATGCAAGTCGCAGCGAACCGGTTTGGAGCCAGCTGATCATCGAAACGAGGGGTTCACTCGATCTGGTCCCAACCGGTAGAATCCCTCCCCTGATCGTGCGAAATGCAAATGTCTGACTTTGTTGCTGAATCCATAGCGGATTGTTCATAATGCAAGTCATTCATGAGACTGAACTGGGACGCATCCCTGAATTATATCTGAATGATAGACAATTCGTACATGCACTTTACCTTTGTTTATCGCAGCTTCCATTGCAACAGGCAATTGCATGAGATATTCCACCCTCTCTGTGTACCGTACTTTTCTGGTTTGGCAGCACTGCGTCCGCTCTTCAACCAAGAAACGGAAGACATCGCTGGGGTTTTCCGAGCCAATTCGGTTTCTCTGAAAAGCAAAAAAAAAAAAGGTGACACCTAAGCAAGCATTTTGATTGGGAGTTGCTCAGAGCTGGTTGTGAAATGGATATGTTTAAGGCAGGTGTGTCAAACTCAATTTCATTGAATGTCGCATTAGGGTTGTGTTTGACCTCAGGGGGCCAGGGTGGGCGTAGCCACCTGAATAATGCTCCTGGTTCCTGTAGTCTGCGATTTTCCTTTGGAAATCCATTCGTATCCCCTCACCATTCAAAGGGTGTTCATCCCAAATTATATAGCTAAAAGGATGCCCTCTAAAAAGGATGCAAATGGCCAGCTGTCTGCAAGGAGTATTAAATCCTTCCATTCTCCAGTATTCTGTCAGAGCTGAAGAAGCTTCTTGGGTGAGAAGCGAAACATCTTCAAAATAGTTGCCTCCTGAAAAAGCACCTTTGAGACAACCATGACCTGGATGACTGAGAATCTCTACAGACTTTTAGTTTATTTGTGGTTTCTGAGATATCCTTGATGTATGGCAGTGTAATTCTTTTTAGGGTCTGATGTTTTAAATGTTTTAAATAAACAAATCTTGACAACACAATTGATTGTGGACTATCCCATATCATACAGGAAGACAATTGTCGATTATCCCAGAACATATAAGTAGCTTTTTACCACTAGAGTTTTCAAGAAAACAATACGCCAGCTTGGAAAGAGCTTGAAAAACCCAAACAATTCCCATGCCACCATCTCAAGCCTTAGTAAATCAGAATTAAGGCACGTAATAAAAGTCCCACCATTTCTACAACCCGGAACTCTCAAAACCCTAGCTGAGGATATTGAATTCATTATTTGGGATATCTCAAGGGACGTCAAGCTGTGGAAAGCTGTAATTGCCTTGTCAAATTGCACTTTCGTGGTTCTAGAAATAGATACATCTCTACCTCTGGAGATACTTAAGATTAAGGATTTGTGCGTATGATGAAACACATTGCACAGTGCAGCAGGGAAGTAAACTGTAGCTTTGTATTCTCCACTGGGGGAACAAGAGCTTCAAAGACATCAGTCAGCATTTTAACAAGTCAGCATTTTAACAGTACAGAAGTTCCTTCTCTGTTAAATGTATACTGCTCAATTTTTCAAAAAAAAAAAATCATTGTGTTGCGGTTAGCTGGCAGCAGGTGCGGACGGTTGAGGAGAGCGAGGACTCAGATGAGGGGCCAGGATCATTAGGGAGTGGACTGCTGCTTTCAGAGATTGTGGGGGCTGGGAGCAGCGATGAGGAGGTTCCCGAGGAGCCTGTGCCAAGTGCGCATGCACGTAGGATTGCTCGTAGGAAAGAGCAGCTGCAACAGCACGGGCAACTCAGAAGTAAGGCTGCAAGGTAATGGCCCCTCCTTCAAGAAGATAAAAGCCAGCTGTGAAACGAACATTCTTTGCAGGAAGCAAAGATGTTTTGAAACTCAGCCTCGTGGACATTACAGTATCTTAATTTGGTATTTGAAGACTCTTGTGTTGTGAAATATTTCTTATCTGTGATTTTTGGCAGTCTTGCAGTTTTGGCAAAGTTTGTGTTTATCAAAGTGAATTAGTTTGCAGCAGCCTTTTAACCGGGGATTCGTAAGACTCATTAAAAGGTTTCTGTTCCTTTTGGTTATTGTTTTTCTTACTGAAAAAAGGGTTTGGGTCAGAACAGTATGCAAGCCAATGAAGGTTTCATAACTTGAAGGCTCATTGATTTCAGCAGAGAACTCCGAGTGAAATCAATAAGGGTTGGAAATGCTTAATATGATCTGGAATATATTCTACATTTGTGGATCATTTATCAACAAAAGGCATCCTACGAGTGACCTCTTTATGGTTGCCTGAGTTTTGTAATAAACCTAATCATATACCAGTATGAAATAAGGTTATTTGAGAACTTCAACTGCAAACCTCCCCATGGGATTGAATGTGATATCACAATCACAAGCAGACCACAATCACAAGCAGATCACAATTTGAAATAGAGGCCGTCCTCAACTTACAACAGTCCATTTAGTGACCGTTCCAAGTTACAACAGCACTGAAACTTAGGACTGTTTTTCACTCGTACGACTGTTGCAGCCTTCCCATGGTCACATGATCAAAATTTGGGTGCTTGGCAACTAGTTCATATTTATGACC